TGTGTCTCTACGTGTGAGATATGAAAATGTTCCCCCTTTTGGAAGGCAATTGGACCTAGACCTCAAAACCACAACTTTCATAAATATTACTATAGGCCTTAAATCCCTTCATCTGCATGCCCATGGATCGGTAAAGAATAGACTCTTGAGTTCAAACCATGTCCCTTAAACATTCAGGCTTTCTTTTGCCGAAGCCTGAGTTCTAAATAATTATGACCGCTGGTGGCCAACAGCTTTAACAAGATATCAGATCCAACTGTAGGGTACTGTTATTTACTATTTGTCCAGATTTATTTGAATCACACTTCCAATTCAAAACCCAGACACTCTGCCAAGGATGTTGGCATGTAGAGAAGAAAGAAGAGTTATCACAATTAAAGGTTAGAGTCTGAACATTTTTCTTTCCCCCTTATATTATTTCGCAGTCTCAATGTGCAGGCTAAATAGCTCCTAATTAACCAACTGATCAATGGAAAGCAGGACTCTGTCTCATTCTCAGAAAACTGGCCTTCAACCTATCCAAAGCCAAATGGCTTGTTAAACTAAATCACATCAACAGGTTCATGCTGCTAGGAAAGGCCAGCGGGGGGACGGTTATATCTGAAGCTTCAACACGAAGACTCACTTTCCCCATAATTATTCTGCTCTTTTCTTATTATCCAGTTGCAACTCCTGCGTATCAAGGAATGCATGCTTCTTATTAGTGCCATGTGGTTCTTCGGAAGAGCTGACAAATAATTCAACAGCTATCGCCGTGCGGAAAGATCACAATGGACACCAACAAGCACGCCCACACAGCAAGACAACCACTTGCTTATTCTTGCCAGTATGGGAAATTGTGGAAATTGTATCTTGAGTTCAATGAAACGATTTCCAGCGTTTGCATAATGTATACTGCACCACATGGGCCACATTTTCTAGTTGCCAGCTACACGCGCATACACCTCCTTTGTGCGCATTTAGTGCAATATAAATAGAACGCTCTCGGATGCACTTCTGCAGACATCCCATGACTAAAGAAAAGGAATCATTATTTTCTCAGGAGGTGCCAGGAGTTTCTGGCTGAGGGGAGACAGGAGGCAAAGGGGCATTGATCCTCCTGACACAGTTGCTCTAATTTGGAATAGCAACTTGGAGAACATAGTCTGCTCTGTTACCTCCAGAGAGGGCAATGCAAAGCAGCTTGCATTTGGGTGGTTAGGCCAAAAAACAAAGGTGAACACTCACAAAGCCCCAACTGTGAGATGCTCCCAGGAGTGCCAGCTTGGCCCCACTACTGTGGGTGCCTGGGGCCATGGGTGCCATGCAGCGTGCATGGCCCTAGCACTGAAATTTGTGGGTGCCCGGCCCCTTCATGGGGAATTTTGTGGGTGCTCCAAGAGCTAGGGAGTTGGCACCTATGCATACTCCTGGTGGAATGTTCCTGAATTTGTAGCTTCATCTGCAGAGTGATAATTCATTGCTAGCAATCCGAGAGAGAGAGCGGGGGGAACATTGCTATATGCATACATGTTCATTTCTCACCACTGCTCAGTGCCTAAACATTCTTCATTGCAGAAGTCTGCATGTGAGATTCTGTGAGGAGACACAGCTCAGTGGAACCGGTAAAGAATGTGCTTCGTGTGAGCATGGTCCTCCAACAATCCCATGTCCCTTAACTGTCCTAATAAAATTGGGACATCCTGTTTTTGGAGGCTGTGCTCTCAAGATTGCAGCACATGTCATTCATCTAGGAGCATGGCCCAGAAGACGCACTGCCTGGTTTTTGACCTGAGCATGTTGCAGGGTATGCAACCCCCTAACATTGTCATTATAGCATCAGGATTGTCGTGGACTCAGATACCTCTGCATTTGATCTGGTACGCAGGCTAAGACTCTATCTCCCCGCAGACTGCCTCACCAGAGTGGTGCATGCTCTGGTTATCTCCCGCTTGGACTACTGCAATGCGCTCTATGTGGGGCTACCTTTGAAGGTGACCCGGAAACTACGACTAATCCAGAATGTGGCAGATAGACTGGTGGCTGGGAGCGGCCGCCAAGACCACATAACACCAGTCTTGAAAGATCTACATTGGCTCCCAGTATGTTTTCGAGCACAATTCAAAGTGTTGGTGCTGACCTTTAAAGCCCTAAATGGCCTCGGCTCAGTATATCTGAAGGAGCATCTCCACCCCTATTGTTCTGCCCAGACACTGAGGTCCAGTGCCAAGGGCCTTCTGGTGGTTCCCTCACTGCGAGAAGCAAAGTTACAGGGAACCAGGCAGAGGGCCTTCTCGGTAGTGGCACCTGCCCTGTGAAATGCCCTCCCACCAGATGTCAAAGAGAACAACAACTACCAGACTTTTAGAAGACATCTGAAGGCAGCCCTGTTTAGGGAAGCTTTTAATGTTTGATACATTACTTTATTTTAATATTTTGTTGGAAGCCACCCAGAGTGGCTGGGGAATCCCAGCCAGATGGGCGGGGAATAAATAAATAAATAATAATAATAATAATAATAATTATTATTATTATTATTATTATTGGTCACTAGCACTTCGGGGACCCTGATCATGAGGAGACTGTTGCAGGGAAAGTACTGTGCAACCACTAAGTGCGCACAGAACAGCCAAAGCCTGGAATCCTATGCATACTGACTTGGGAAGAAGACCGCTTGAACTCATCTTTGGATGAAATATATAAGCCTGTAAAGCGGAGATCTAACCCCTTTGAATTCAGCGGCACACATCTAATGATATTAAGCAGACATTATTTTAAAGAATGTTTTAAATATTGGGAGAGCCAAACTCAGAGAGTTACTGCCGCTACGTATCATTCCTTTGGTTCTAAACACCCCACCTTGCCATTTAAGGTTTTATGCAGTCAGTTTATGAGATGCCAAGGGCAGGTACGGGCTCATTTGCTCTGCGCAGTAAAAATGTAAGACAAATCCTCGCAAAAAGCTTAGTGTTGTTATAACTAGGAATCAGAAGGAGTTCAAACGCTACATTCGCTTTCCAAATGGACCTCCAATAAAACAGAGCGATAGCTGCAGCCAGTCTCCAGAAAAACCTGTGGGCGCACATAACACCTGCGCTTTTGATCATTATGTACTGCAGTTGCTAATAAATTTAATGAGCCTTCAGGCCGGCAACGGCCCTTATAAACCGCATCCCTTGGCGGCTGTTGGCATGCAGTAAGTCACCGGTGGGAAGGGGGATATGCTGGCTCACCACATTGCAAAAGTCTTCATACTGTTGGAGGGACATGCACAGAAACCACCCAGACTGTCTATGTGAACTGCTGCCCTCAAAGACCACATTTTTTTTATTTATTGAATTTATATACCGCCCTATACCCAGGGGCCTTAGGGCGGTTCACAGAACAAAATCAAAATATAAAACCACAAAATATATAATAAAAATAAAAACATCAACCCAATAGCCTCCCCTCCCCCATAAACACATTTTTAAAGGGCATAGGATGTAAATCAAATCAACCAAAGGCCTGGTTAAAAAGGTGTACAGTGGTGCCCCGCAAGACGAATGCCTCGCAAGACGGAAAACCCGCTAGACGAAAGGGTTTTCCGTTTTTGAGTTGCTTCGCAGGACGAATTTCCCTATGGGCTTGCTTCGCAAGACGAAAATGTCTTGCGAGTCTTGAGATTTTTTTTCGCTTCCCCCCCCCTTTATCTAAGCCGCTAAGCCTTTAATAGCCTTTTAAGCAGCTAATCCGCTAAGGCGATAAGCCTTTAATAGCCGCTAAACCGCTAATAGCGCTAAGCCGCTAAGCTGCTAATAGGGTTGCTTCGCAAGACGAAAAAACCGCTAGACGAAGACACTTGCGGAATGGATTAATTTCGTCTTGCGAGGCACCACTGTATAATGAAAGTGCCAGGCAAACTGCCCAGGGAAGAGCATTACACAGACAGGGAGCCACTGCAGAAAAGGCCCTGTTCTCATGTTGCCACCCTCCAGACCTCTTGAGGAAGGAGACCCATGAAGAAGGGCCTCAGAAGATGATCTCAGGGTCCGGGTTGGTTCATATGGAAAGAGACAGTCCTTGAGGTAATGAGGTTCTGAGCCATTTAAGGCTTTATAGGTCAAAAGCAGCACTTTGAATTGAGCCCAGAAACTAACTGGTAGCCAGTGCAGTCAGATCAGGATCAGTGTAATATGCTCAAACCGTCTTGCTCCGGTGAGCAACCTGGCCACTGAATTCTGCACATGCCCAGCACTTTAAAAGGATCCCCTTGTGCATGCCTAAATAGCTCTCATGTGCACACGCTCCCCCTCCTATTTATCTGAACACAAGTTCTGAGTGTAAACAATATTTCATTTGTTGTTGTTTGTTGTTTAGTTGTTTAGTCGTGTCCGACTCTTTGTGACCCCATGGACCAGAGCATGCCAGGCACTCCTGTCTTCCACTGCCTCCCGCAGTTTGGTCAAACTCATGCTGGTAGCTTCAAGAACAATATTTCATAGAATCATAGAATTATAGAGTTGGAAGGGACCCAAGGGTCATCTAGTCCAACCCCCTGAAATGCAAGAATCTCAGCTAAAGCACCCAGGACAGATGGTCATCCAACCTCTGCTAAAAAACCTCCAAGGAAGAAGAGTCCACCACCTCCCGAGGGAAACTGTTCCACTGTTGAACAGCTCTTACTGTTAGAAATTTGTTCTGTCTATTTAGTCAGAATCTCCTTTCTTGTAACTTGAAGCCATTGGTTTGAGTCCTACCCTCCAGAGCAGGAGAAAGCAAGCTTGTTCCATTTTCCATGTGACAGCTTTGAGACATTTGAAGATAGCTATCATAGCTCCTCTTAGTCTCCTCTTTTCCAGGCTAAACATACCCAGCTACTTTAACCATTCCTCATAAGGCTTGGTTTCCAGACCCTTGATCATCTTGGTTGCCCTCCTCTGCATACATTCCAGCCTGTCAACATTTGCTCGGCTGGGCAACTCAGCTGATGACACAAGTGGCTGTCCTTCTAAGCCAGTGGTGGCCAAACCTGGCCCTCCAGCTGTTTTGGGACTACAATTCCCATCACCCCTGACCACTGGTTCTGTTGGTTAGGAATGATGGGAGCTGTAGTCCCAAAACAGTTGGAGGGCCAAGTTTGACCATTACTGTTCTAAGCCCTATCTGCTGTGCTCTGGCTCTGGACAAATGCCAGATCCTGAACTGAATGAGGCCAATTCAGGCCAATCTGGGATATTCCTGGAATGGGTCCAAGCAGCCCCAGATTGGGTCAAGTCTACTCAGAGTGACCCAGAGCCATTTTCTGTACATTTCCCTATCTCTGTCCTTAACAAGGTAAAAGCAACAGTGAAACAGGCAGTCGTCACTCACAAACACCATAGCTTATGAGTCATAGGACCTCACAGTACAGTGCCCTTGAAATATACAGGGTATCTTGGAATCAGGCTCCTAAATAGTCATTCAGGACACACAAAAGGCTGAAATATTAAGTGAGGGGGGCAGAAGGAATCTTTATCCCATCTCACAAAATGACTCAAGGCAGCTAACTAAAATAATATGATTAAATTTTAAAACAATGTAACAATGAAAACAACAAGAGCAGCAACTGAAAACCAAAAATAGCCAATGGCATTGAGCCAGCAAGTGAAAAGCTTTAAAACAACAATAAATTAGAAGAAAGGCTTTAGTTAAACTGCTCACAGAAGGAACTGTGAGAACAAGCTTTCAGAGGTACTCAGGGCAGTGAATGTAAAAGGATTAGGCCCAGTGCTATTCTCACTGGAACTCACCATTAACACCTCCCTTGTTCTCTTATCATGGCAATGGCACCCACCTGAGAGGGGCCAGAACTGAGTTCCCATGAGTTCCAGCTGAATAAAAGTCCCAATTAGGCTGTATTTTGTGCCTTCTGAAGGACAATGGTCTTAGAACAAGATGGCAAATGATGAGAAGAACGGAACATAAAAGGATGAACCTGTTCCTTGAGATGTCTGGGTGATTCTTTGGGGAAAGCCAAATGTTTTAAATGTGATTTAAGAGCATGGTGTGGATGAGACCTGAAAGTAAAACTAGTCATATTAATTGCAATTCATGTGGATTTTTTGTTAAGTAAATATCAGACCAGGAGAAGCCAGAGCACATTTGGAAATATGTGGAGTAGGGACAGTAGGTTTTGCTCTCGCTTTCCCACCCTCACCATGGTTCGGCCAAGCCCTTCTTCTTAGCTGACGTTTGCCTTGCAAGGGAAGCCTGCGAGGGAAGCCTCCATTGGAGCCAACGGGAGCTCCATTTGGACACCTGCTTCAGAGAGGAGGTTCTGAGTTTTGTCAGCAACACTGGCATGGCTAATGGTCAGGGACGATAGCAGCACTATTTGGAGGGCACCAATTTGTCTACACCTGGCAGGTGGGTTCAGACACAATCCAGAAAAGGAGAGACTTCTTTTCAGAAAATTTCATTGGCTGTTTCTTGATAGCTCACGATCAACGGTCAGACCTGGGAGCCTTCATGAACTTTGATGATCTTCCATGTCTGTGTTAGGGTTGCCATATTTCAAAAGGTGAAGATCCGAACACAAAGGTTGTTCAGCTCTTTTTTCTTTGCAAAATCTCAAGAAGAAGTTTTTGAGCTATTGTTAAGGAAATTTGCCAAAATCTACACTACTGACATGGGTTACCATACATCCAGATTTTCCTGGACATTTCCGCAATTTCTGCCCGGACACAGTTTCCAACAGCCAAATCCCAGCAATGTCTGGGAAATTCCGGACGTATGGCAACCCTAGTATGTTCCTATCTGTAATCGCTCTGGGGGGAAATGAGACTCCAATCACCACTGCCTCTATTCATATTATACTCAGTCCTCCAAAAAGAGGGAAACACTTCACCCAAAAAGAGACAAAATCTACATAAAATTTACAAGTGCTAAATTTGCAAGGCACCAGACAAAATCTTACTTCTTTCCCCAGGCTTTTTTTGATAGACTATGATACTGCTACTTGCTCTTAGCTGCACTGTTAAATTATTTTGCTGCTGCTATTCAGGGTTGCTTTGTGGATTTTTAAGAATTACCATATTTTTCGCTCCATAGGATGCACCTTGTTTTAGAGGGGGAGAACAAGAAAAAAAATATATCCCCCTCTCTGAGCAGCGCCCCTTCAGTGAAGCGGCAGGAGAAATGGAGCGCCTTTCATTTCTCCTGCTGCTTCACTGAAGGTGCGTTCAGTGCATTCAAGGTGCATTCAGTCGCCTTCAGTGAAGGCAACCCGAAGCCTCTGGAGCGCGGCGGGAGCTCCCGCTGCATTCTAGAGACTTCAGGCGGCTACCTTGGAAGCCTGGAGAGCAAGAGGGGTCAGTGCGCACCGACCCCTCTCGCTCTCCAGGCTTCAGTGATGGCAACCCAAAGTCTCCGGAGCGCAGCGGGAGTTCCTGCCACACTCCGGAGGCTTCGGGTTCCTTTCGACCTGCTCTTTGGGGCTGGCGGTGCCAGCCCCAAAGAGCAGGTCGGGGAGCAGTGGAAAGGCTGCACGCAGCCTTCCCGCTGCTCCCCGAGCTTGTGGGGCTGGCAGGGGAAGCCCGGGTCCCCCCCCCAGCCCCAGGGACCACACATTCGCTCCATAAGACGCACAGACATTTCCCCTTAGATTTTAAGAGGGAAAAAGTGTGTCTTATGGAGCGAAAAATACGGTGTGTGTGTGATTTTATAATGTATTTTTTACCTATGCCTAAGCAACAACAACAACATGGAGACAAACTGAGAAATAATTACAATTGGCTGCATCCACTGAAGTTGTCATGTTCCAGCAAGGACTTCCATTTGTGCAGCAGAACCTTCCCTCTGCCTCCTTCCCTTGCATACCCTCCCCAAACTGTTTTGGGAGTTTTCCCAACCCACTGGAGAAGATTGAGCTGGAGCACATAGGAAACAGAGAGGGAGGGGAAATTCCATGGCACAAGGGTAAGTTCTTGCACAAACGGGATGACTTCAGTGGATACAACTCAATATTTTAAATAGAAATGCAATACATCTCTTGTAGTGGTGAAGACAAACTGACCTGTATGCCTGCTCAGTCTGTTGTCCAGATGGGCAACTTCAACTCTCTCTTCTGTTGGTTCTTGGTCTTTCAACCAAACTTTGACTGGACAGGTCTTCATACAGAGTAATGGCTATTCTACCTACCAATACTTGACCCTCGTCTTTTTAGTTGACACAAAGTACCATATCTCCCTCAACATTAGGCCTTGCAGTTCACCCAGTTCTTCCATCAAAATCCTCATTGTTACAGATTCAAATAATTTTTAAAAAATTAAAGGGCTCCCAAATATATATCTATATTTCAAATTAATTCTGTTACATTATGCAGGAGTGAGCAGCAAAATGTGAAAGATATACCTTTGACCTGAGCACATTGCTAGGTTGTCCTTTGTTTCAATGGCCATGTGCCCTATGTCCAATAACCTTATCCAACTGCTCACTGAAGAAGACAGATTATCCTTTCCTTTATGAGATATTTCTGCTGGCTCAAATGCTAAATTACCATTTTCTTTTTTTTATTTTACAATTCAGTAATCGCTCTTAGGGAGTCATGATGTCATGTGCATTGGAATGGAGCTGAGATATAAAAGAGGCTGCACAGCTTGAGTTAAGCAGTTTTGAATTAAGTAACCAACGTGCCTGGAAAGAAATATTAGAGAACTTCATAGCAGAACATACATAACAGTTTGAACAGAACAGTGCTTGCAAAAAATAAAAGACAGATTTACAAATTTGTATAATTTGTATATAATATTAGGGTACAGGGTAATGCATGAAGTGCATACCGTATTTTTCCGTGTATAAGACTAGTTCCCCCCCAAAAACATAATGTCAAAAATTAGGGGGCGTCTTATACAAGGATACATCTCCCCCCATTTTCTTAAATCTGAGTCCCCAAATATAGGGGGCGTCTTATACATGGTGGTATCTTATAGACGGGAAAATATGGTACCTTGGCCTCAAATCTAGTTACGAACAAGTAGTAATTTCTATTCTGAGTTTGAATTTGCACCTCTGTGCACGCCAATGGGCAAAGTGGAACACAATGACAAGGGCCACAGACTCCAAACTGTGAAGCACATTAAAATGGTTCATTGTTACACAATGCTCAATAAAGAAACCAGCAAATAAATATTGTGGTTGGTTTACAGTACAGGACAACTCCTGTTTAGACAGTACCGCTGAAAAAGCGTAGCATAGCAAGGAGGAAATAAACTCAAATGCTTAGCCAAAGGCCATCTGCTAATGAAATAGTTTCAAAACAGTATCAAAGAAATTGCGTAGGAATGGTATTGACACAGCAGTTCAGGAAAGAATCTGGGGAATTATTAGGGTTGTGCCAATGTGTGCGGGACGCGGGTGGCACTGTGGGTTAAACCACTGTGCCGCTTGGGCTTGCTGATCGAAAGGTCACGGTTTGAATCCCCAGTTGTTTGGTCCCAGCTCCTGCCCACCTAGCAGTTTGAAAGCACGCAGTGCAAGTAGATAAATAGTGCAAGTAGATAAATACTTTCTCTGGCGGGAAAGTATACGGCGTTTCTGTGCGCTGCTCTGGTTTCGCCAGAAGCAGCTTAGTCATGCTGGCCACATGACCTGGAAAAACTGTCTGTGGAAGCGGACAAACACCGGCTCCCTCAGCTTTTAAAGCGAGATGAGTGCCGCAACCCCAGAGTCGTTCGCTACTGGACTTAATTGTCAGGGGTCCCTTTACCTTTAAATGTGTGTGGAAGGTGATTTGGTGAGTCAGAAAGCCTTATTTTATTACCATCTGTGGAGGCTTATCTTGAATGATTGGGAGCCCTGGGTGCCCTAAGTGCCACAGTCACCTCCCAGAAGTTAGAAGGTGACAAAATGGTGCATGATCTCCCTCATGTCTTTCCTTCCCTATAACTCCAGGTCAGGGACATTGTGTCACATCACTGTAGAAACTGTAGCAAAAAATAAAGCATATACATTGTAACCTTGGTTGTCGAACGCTTTGGAAATCGAATGTTTCGGCTTTCAAATGTAGACAAACTGGAAGTGAATGCTTCCGTTTTCGAATGCGCCTCAGCAGTCAAACAGCTTCCGAGGTGCATGTCTCCATTTTTT